GACCAACTTCATCCTTTACCTCATTTTCATTCACCCTCCTCACTCACGCCCTCCTCTCAACCTCACCCTTCGCCCTTTTGAGACGTCTCAAAAACACCCTCTCTACACGAGGCTGGACTGGACCAACTTCATCCTTTAACTCATTTTCATCTACCCTCCTCACGCCCTCCTCTCAACCTCACCCTTCGCCCTTTTGAGACGTCTCAAAAACACCCTCTCTACACGAGGCTGGACTGGACCAACTTCATCCTTTACCTCATTTTCATCTACCCTCCTCACTCACGCCCTCCTCTCAACCTCACCCTTCGCCCTCCCCATCCCAGTCACATCTCTGGCATGCCAGTCACATCCTTCTTTTGAAACGTCTCAAAACTTTTCGTGCTCTCCTCTCAACCTCACACTCCCCCCTAAACCCCTCTCTCACCCTCCCTCATTGCAGGCACAACCCCTTCCTTCTGGCCAGTGTTGCACGTGACGCCAAGGTGAGTATTGCCCGGATAATATTTCTCCAACCTGGCTATAGGATCTCTCAAGCTCCATTTTGTTTTTTTTCAACTTACCGTCCTTCCTTTTGGCTAGTGCTGCTTTGAATGGCAAGGCAAGATTCTCGCCTCCCTCATTCTCTCGCTCGCTACAGGGAGGAAAAGTGAAATTTCAAAAATGACATCAATCAATCCACTCAGTTGTGTTGCAAATCTGAGGTGACTTTTGAGTCGACTCAAAAGTCAATCAATCCACTCAGTTGTGCTGCAAATCAATCCCTTTGTCTCTGTTACGATCAATTTACCCCTTACTGTCAATTCCTTCTTCTCTGTTACAACCAGTACCGTTCTTTGCGATACCGTGTTTGTAGTTTGAGAGTCTAGCACTGATACGTAAGCACTGCACCTCGCCACCACCATGCGCCAATTAATCTGTGTGTTTTGAGTCGACTCAAAGCACGGGCCGCCATCATGCGCCAATTAATCAGCGTGCAACCACCCTCCCTCCCTCCCTCCCCACCCTCCTTTTACTTCGCTTCACCTGCTGTGTGCTGTTTCCCATACCAATCAGCTGCGACTGTGGGATTGCCGCCACATAGTTCCTTCCACCATCACCCCTACCACCTCCTCCTCTTCCTCCTCTTCTTCCTCCTCCTCTTCCTCCCCTTGCATCGGCACGTGTCGCACTCCCACAGCCCCCTTCGCTCTCCTCCCCCTCCCACCCCACCCCACCCCACCCATGCGCTGTGCCTCGTGGTGGGGCGAGGAGGCATAGCGGCCCTGGATCTTCTTTCAATGAAACAGGTACGGTACGGTCCAGTACGATATGGTAGGGTAGGGTAGGGTGGGGTAGGGTAGGGTAGGGTAGGGTAGGGTAGGGTATGGTAGGGTAGGGTTGGGTTGGGTATGGTAGGGTCGGGTAGGGTCGGGTATGGTTTGGTATGCTATGGTATGCTATGGTATGCTATGCTATGGTATGGTATGGTATGGTACGGTACGGTACGGTACGGTACGGTACGGTATGGTATGGTATGGTATGGCATGGCATGGCATGGTATGGTAAGGTACGGTACGGTGCGGTACAGTACGGAATGGTACAGTACGGTATGGTATGCTTGCATGCCTGTATTCCAAGCCGAGTTCTGAGGCGTCTCAATCCTCGCATAACCCTTAACATCCCGAATCCCTCGTTTCTTTTCCCCTCCACCCACTTTCTCCCTTCTCGTCCGCCCTTCAGGTTCTAGCCCTCCCATGCGGGTCCTCCCCCCTCTCCTCCTTCGCCTCCTCCCCATCACGCTGCATCATTGCAGCGGGTTCCGAGGATGGCTGTGTGAGGCTGTGGCGCATGGGGCAGGCACGCAACGAAGAAGCGGCAGGTACGGCCGATGTAGCCTCAGCATTTGGGTCAGGAGGGCCGCTCTCAGAAAGCATGCAAGATTCGAATTTTGGGTCGGCTAAAAAAGCAGTTGGTTCAGGAGGGCAGCTCTTAGGAGGCATGCGGGATCCCAAACTGCTCTCAAACTGCTGCCAAGCGGGCGAGGCTGAGTTCAAACTGCTCGCCTGCTCAAAATCGCATAACAGTACAGTGGATTTACTGTACGTGGACGGTTATAAATGCGTCAGTGGGAGCCGAGGGGACGGATTGTTGTGTGTGTGGGATGTGGAGACTGGGGAGGAGATTCGCTCGTTGGACGCTACTCTTCTCCCCCCCTGGCTGGTGGGAACCGATGATGCAAGTGACAGGGGTCATGGTGATGGTGGTGGTGGAGATGATGGTGGTGGTGGTGATGGTGACGCTGCTGGTGGTGGTAACCTTACAAATGCTGGTAACCGCAGCGATTTAACAGCGGATGTTGACCTTATAGGGGAAGGTGGTGCTATAGCTGATGCTGCGACTGCTGGCGAAAGTAGGGGCGGCAATGCTCCAACCGAGACTGTGAGGCGAGTCCTAGTGGAGAGTATGCATGCATGTGGGGGTGTGGTGGTTGTTGCTTTGGTGAGCTATCGCAGGAGGGTAGTTCTCGGGAGGAGGTTGCAGCAACAGGTGGTGGAGGAGGTTGAAGCGAGATGGATGCGTTTGTGGGATTTCACTTGTGGTATAGCTTTATTGTTGGATGATGGAATTTTTGTGAAGGAAGAGGATGGGTCTTTGATGGTGGGTGGTGGCAAATTCTGGTAGTAATTAAGGCCGATGCGCTATTCATGCTGTAATGGCTCACTTTACATGTTCATTTGGTGAGTCTTCCTTTGCTTATCATGGATACTACCAATAAAGAACGTGGGTGGTCAGCAGGTTTGTTGCTTCTTTTCTGTACCGCAATCGGATAACTCGCGCCAAATGTTTTCCACGACGACTTTCGCGAACGCTTCACCGACCAAAACCTCTGATAGTCGTAGACTCGGTCGGACGAAGTCGCTGCCGTCGCCATACCTTCCCTGCGACACAAGCATCAAGACTTGGAGCGTTCCACTCCTTACCTGGAGGGAGCACCCTAGCTCCCTACAAGTATGTCTTCATTGTTTCAAAAAAGATAAAAACAATCCACCATTTCCTGAGTACTCAGGAAATGCCGTCGTCTGATACAGCTTTTTGTCCGTTGCTTTAATATCGGATTAGGCACTAGAAGCGCAGACAAGAAAGGTGCTGGCACGAGTAGCTACAGCTAAAACCGCGACTTTACATTCCCCTTCACGTACCCGTTTTGCCCCCTCCCTATTGTGTAGGAATTCGGAACTCGTGGTTTGGGAATGACCGGCGTAGGCCGTGGGGGAAAGTACAATACAAGCCTATAGCAATTTGATAACTATAGTAGAAGAACTCAAAAGGTTCGGGGCATTGGCCATCGTAGACCAGGTCAAGGACCACACGGGGAATCCTGTTCGTGGATTTCATTCCAAACCACACAATTCCCAAGGCTGTTGAGGGAGGGAACCGCATTCAACCTCTTTGTTCACTGTAGCTGATGCTGTCTCTGTCGTGCTTGGGGGATCACACGAGCCCAGCCCAACCCCCCCTCGTCCAGTGAGGTGGACTGGCTGGACCCATCATCTTTAGATGCCGTCAGCAGTGTAGACGTGTAACAGCAGTGAGAGGATTTGTTGTGTCCTGTCTGCAGCAGTTGCAGACACTCCTCGCTACTAGGTCTTTCCCTTGCTGGAAGCATTGGTGACGGTATAGTTATTGCGAGAAGATGCACGACTGACGCTCTTTTCCGCAGCTGTGTTGCTTGCGGTTTGGACCTCACCCCCTTTGTCCCCCACGTTCTACCAGCTTATCTCCCCTTGCGATGCGACGCAACATAATCACGCGCCGATATTGTAATTATCGGGCAGCGTCTGTCATCGCCATGGCCTTCATGTATTTATCAGCAGAGTTATAAGTCATTTCGAGCGAGACCATTCACCATATTACATTTGCAACTCTAATGCAAGGGGTACCACGCGTCGGTGTCTCCATCTTTGTCTCCAAGCAGCAACAAATATTTTTGTTTTTTTTTAACCACTGAAACTCGCCCGGTGACGGCAACGATCCGCTATCACACATCTCGCTGCTACAAATAATCTTCGTCGTCTGATGCCTCGAGGGCGAGTCCAGGCATCGTCGGTGCGTATTTTCCTCGCATTGTCCCGCCCCTTATCTTCTCTGAATCCGCTCGTGTTCCGCTTCCACCGCGGAACTACAAGTATAACACGCTTCCCCATTCGTGTTCCGGGTTTTGCTCGTTTTGTGTTTTGCCCCTTTTTTTTAACTAATTTGATTTTCTACTTTAAGGAACTAATTAGGCTGTGTGAGGACCGCAGGTGACGTCGTCGAAGAAGGTGCGGCAACAGCAGCAAACGCAGCAGCGTCGAATCCAGGAACCTCCGTCGTCATTCTACCGCACCGCTCAGAACATCTCGAAAAACGCCCGACCCCAGCTCCCCGCCTCCTCTGTGCCTCCAGCCTACCCTTTCGAACCTCGCGATTCCTCTCCCGATCCTCTCGCTTCCTCTCCCGAGCCCCTTCGGCCGACCCTCCGTTCACACGCTCCGCACTCCGAGCCTCCTTACAGTCACATTGTCGAGTCACGCTATAGTGAGTCCTCCCACCCCGCGCGGTCACAGCAGAGTGAAGATCGGCAAACCCAAGGCCGTACTTCGAGGGTTGATAAGGCCAGACATTACAATGACTCTGCACCACAGCGGGATTTTATGCCACAAACGGAGCAGCGTATACCGGAGCAAGCGAATGGCACGAGCTGTAGGAGTCCTGGAAACAGCAGCGGTGGCAGCAGCAGCGGGTTTCAAACTCCGCCGTCCGATATTAGTCCAGGTTCTGCATCCCCGTTATTAGCTCAGCGTCCATCTCAATCTACGGCTCACCCCATCTCAGAAACTGTTTCCGGCCGTCAAAATGGTAACGGCCGCGAAGCAGAACGGAACGACAGCCGTCGGGGATTAAACGGTCACCGCATCAACCACGCTGACGGCCATTACCAGCCCGCCGCTGCGGCTGAACCCGCAGAAATTACTTTTCGAATGCGCTCCCCTTCGCATCCGAACAGAACCGTGCCTCCCGCCGGTCCCGAAACAGCCAATCGCAACCCATTAAGAGCGTCCTCGCTAAGGGCTTCCTCCGAAAACTCGTTTCCCGTCGCCGTTCCGTCCCCCTCAGGTGCGCCCTCCGATTCCGTCTTAGCCGATCTCTCCTCCGCTATTGCTCTCTGCAACCGCATCGTCCATCTCTCAGGCCCTTACCCTACCTCTACTTCCCCTCACCGGCACTCCGCCTCCCTCCCCACTTCCCCCTCCGCCTCCCCTTTCCACTCAACCGGCCCCCCTCTTCCCCCGATTCGAAACGCCGCCCTCCGTATAGCTGCCGAACGTGTTTCGAAACGAACCAAGCAGCTCCTGCCGATCCTGATTCAGCTGCAAGGTCCGGGAGCCGTGAACCTCGCTTCCGATCCTCGTGCGTTATTTATCATCCAACGGCTGTTAACAGAGCTAGATACCACTGTAGCCGCCCTCGAGGCATGTAACAGATCCAGCAAATCCCCACTAGCAGGCCTGTTCCGCTTCTTTGGCCGGCATCATTTGTCTTTATCCGCCTTCTCGTCCAAAACCCGTACCGGTAGCCATGCCAAAGCTCCTGCCGGACCTAACCCGGTTGGTTTGGATGATCCACCTCCGCTTTTCCGAGCCTTATCCTCCGGCTCGACCTGCTCAATCCCTTTCACCTCCTCCGCTTCCTCCTCCTCCGCTCTCGCCTCTCAGCTAAAAGCGAGCTTAGCTGAGATTCGCCAGTGTCACACGGAGTGCCTACTCCTGCTCGGACAGGGTTCCACGGTTTATAGGCGCACTCAGAGCGTTGGGGGGAGGAGCTCACTGGGAGGGGAAGAAGACGGCGGAGGAGTCAGGGCAGGGGGAGGCGGAACAGGGGAAGGCGGATATGGAGTGGGAGGAAAGGGAGGGGGATCAAAAGGAAGGGGAGATTTTGGAGGAGGGCCAGGAGAAACAGGTGAAGGGTATGGGTATCAGCAGCCGCAGGCAAGGCAGCAGCAGGAGCAGCAGCAACAGCGCGATCGGAGGAGCTTAGAGGACGTGGCGCTCCCCTCAAGCTCCATGGTTGATAGGTCGTTATTTATGGCTGGTGGTCGAAACAGTGCGGTTGCTACTGGGGCGGGTAGAGGTGAGCAGAGCGATACCAGGGGCGCTAGCAGCTCTGCTGCTACTGCCCACACTGCCACATCCCCTTATGCCGTCCCCGCCGCCGTCGCCGCTACTGCTGATGCTGCTGCGGCTGCGGCTGGCGCCAGTTATGATGGGGGCAGGGGACGTGCAACCGTCACAGCCTCACCACCTGCACCCTTCACTTCCAGTAGGCAAACTCCCAGTAGGCAAGGTTCCAGGAACAGCCGCTCTCACAGCGGAACCAGAGCCTCCAATTCCGCCCTAGCAACCGCCCACCCAGGGACTCTCCCCCCTCGCTCCCCCCCTACCCCTCTCACCACCTCCCACCCACCAACCCCCCCACACCAGCCCACCCGCCTTCCTCTCTCAGGCGCCTCTTCCCCCCGTAGTTCCACTGCCACTGGCACTTCTGTCTTTTCTGCCGGCCCCGCTGCCGCCCGCCAGCTGGTCGTCTCGCTCTCCCGGGGATCTGCGCTGGAAAAGCGGGCGGCGCTGATGGCGCTTTTGGATTTATCTGAGTTGTCGGATGCGGGGAAGCTGCACGTGACTGCAGCGGGCGTGGTTCCTGTGATTGCAGTGCTGCTCAATCATCCGGACCTGGGAGCCAGCTTCAGCAGCAGTAGCTTCGGAAGCAGCGGGGGGACAGGCGGGATAGGTGGTGCAGGTGGTGCTGTTGGCGTAAGCAGGACCGGGAGTGGTACCAGGAGTGCACAAACGTCGAGCATAGGGGAAGAGCTTAAGTTACTTTCTCTGCAACTGCTCCTATTGCTCGTGTCTCTTGATGAGAACCGAGCCGTGGTAGTGAAGGCTGGGTGCGTCGCGATCCTAGTCAGCATCCTCCGAACCGGATCGCCGGACCTGCGCGCCGTGGCTGCGCGGGTGCTTTGGAAGGTGGCAGTGGGGGGAGGGGGAGGGGGAGGGGGAGGGGGAGGGGGAGGGGGAGGGGGAGGGGGCGGCGGCGACAATCCCAGGGCTGCGATCGCAGCGAGTGAGGCGATTCCGTCGCTGGTGGCGATTCTGCAGTCGCAGACAGACGCTGCTGTGAAGCAGGATGCTGCTGACGCCATTGCTCACCTCACAGCCAACAACGAGAAGAACCAGGTGAGGGTGAGGTAGGGGTGGGTAGCGGTTATGGGTTTGGGCAGTGTGCAGAGCAGAGTGCAGATCCGATCATGCACCTCACAGCCAACAACCGGAGAAACCAAGTGAGACCGAGAGAGGGGGGGTCTGGGCAGAGCATCGGGAGCTGGGTTGGGCAGTGGATGTTAAGAACCAGATCCGATTGCGCACCTCACAGCGAACAATAAGAAGAACCAGGTTAGGTGAGGACGCGAGAAGGGGGAACTATGCTGAACGTCAAAACGAGCTGGGTGAGAGGAGAGGTGGAGATGAGGAGAATTATCTGTCACGGCTGTGCAGCTGTCACATGACTAGCAATGAAACATTATGGGTCTTTCAGTCAGGTGAGTTTTGAGGCGCCTCAAGAGAGGAGAGGTGGAGTTGAGGAGAATTATCTGTCACGGCTCTGCAGCTGTCACAAGTAGCAATGAAACACTTAGGGCCTTTCAGTCAGGTGAGCGAATCACCCGACAGCGAGTGTGCGCGTGTTTCAGTGGTTTGTTAAAGACAGCGGCATGCTGACCAAGCGGCTCAGCTGTAGGTGCCAAAATCACTAACATTTTTTCGAAGTCTCAGAAGTGATCTTGCCGCTGAGCAAGGGGGCAAAATCACCGCTCCTGTTTTTTACCCACCTCTCCCCCCATCCCCACTCCAGATGGCAGTGGCGGAGGCAGGGGCTACCAGCGCTGGTAACCATGCTGAGGGACGGCATGGCAGCATGGGCGAGCAGGAGAGGAGAGGGCGATCCCGGCCCCTGTGTGTTCCTCACTCGCTGTATACCCCTCTCCCCCCCCATCCCTACTCCAGATGGCAGTGGCGGAAGCAGGGGCTATCCCAGCGCTGGTAACCATGTTACGAGACGGCAGCACGGGCGAGCAGGAGCGAGCAGCTCTGGCGGTGGGCACGCTGGCAGTGAACAGCAGCGACAACAAACTCGCCATCTCCCCTCCCTCCCTTCCTCCCTCCCTCCCTTCCTCCACACAGGCTCTCTCTCTCACCCTTTCATGTACTTACACTCTCGTTCCCATCTCCTCCCTTCGCTTCTGCTGCTCACCCCTCTCCCCCCAATTCCCACGCCAGATGGCAGTGGCGGAGGCAGGGGCTATTCCGGCACTAGTCACCATGCTGAGGGACGGCAGCACGGGCGAGCAGGAGAGGGCGGCTCTGGCGGTGGGCACGCTGGCAGTGAACAGCAGCGACAACAAGCTCGCCATCCCCCTTCCCTTACTCACTCCCTCGCATACCCTCTTTCTCACCCTTCCTCAACCTTCTCCTTCTACTGCTGTTAACCCCCCCCCAACCCCCCCCCATTTCCCACCCCAGATGGCAGTGGCGGAGGCAGGAGCCATTCCGGCTCTAGTGACCATGCTGAGGGACGGCAGCACAGGCGAGCAGGAGCGAGCAGCTCTGGCGGTAGGCACGCTGGCAGTGAACAGCAGCGACAACAAGCTCGCCATCGCTGCTGCTGGCGCCGTGCCTCTGCTGCTCGACCTCCTCTTCCACTCTGTCGCAGCTGCTGCTGCTGCCAACACTGCTTCTGCTGCTGCTTCTGCCGCTGCCGCTGCTGCTGCTGCTGGTACTGATGGTGGTGATGGTAGTGCTGCTGCTGCTGCTGCTGCTGCTGCTGCTGGTGGTGTTGCAGGGCAGGCAGGGAGATCAAGGCGATCAGGGCGAGCAGGGCAATCCGCCTCTGCCGAACCTTCGCCACGAGCGCCCACAGCATCAGCCTCTCTTCCGCCCTTCCTCTCCCCATCTTCCTCCTCCGCCTCCGCGCCCCCGCTCCCTCCCGCCATCGCCAAGACCTGCGCCTGGACGCTCTACGTCCTCTCCTCGGACTCTGTCTCAGCCTCGTTCATACTCGCTAATGACGGGCTCGAGATAGTGTATAAGGTGTACAAGGAAGGCCCGTCGGAGGCGCAGTTCTGGGCGGGGCACATGCTGCAGCTGCTGGATCCCACGTTCCGGCGCCCGGAGAAGCAAGCGAGCTCTAGGAGGTATGCCTGGACCTCTCCTTCCTCTTCCTTTGTTCTGAAGCAGCAGCAGCAGCAGCAGCAGCCACAGTTACAGCAGCAGCAGCAGCAGGCAGTGGTGCAACCGGAACCGGCGCAGCAGTTTCCAAGAAACTTCTCATCTGATAGTCTTCAGCAGTCGCTCGCGGCACAGCAGCAGCTGGGCCAAAATCAGAATCAGAATCAGAATCAGCAGCAGCTGGTGGCACGGGGTGCTCCCTTGCGGCCCTGAGCTGAGATGAGCTCAGCTGAGGTGAGGTGAGGTGAGGTGAGCGATCTGGAGTCCGATGAGCTGGAGGGGGAGGGGGAGGGGCAGAAAGGGGAGGAGCAGGAGAAGGACAGAGTGGTGCTGTGCGGTTGAGGTGAGCTGAGTGAAGTGGAATCCCACAAGAGCTACAAGTGGGGCGGGGGGAGGGCGAGGGGCACAAGAGGGGAGGGATAGCATGAGTGTCGGTTGTTTCTGCAACTGTAGCTTGGTGCAATGCTGTGTAGCCTAGGGAGCTCTTTGTTCTCGTTTGTTAGGGGCTGTTATGTCTGTCTGTAGTTTAGTGCTGCCAATCTCCTTTAGCTTGTGAAACTTGTGTTTGATTGAACAAAATATGTGCTTGTATGTCGGCTGCCTCCCTGTTTCTTGAGCTGCTCGATGAGCAATCTACAACAAGAATGAGCACCGATGCCCCTTACCCTCCACCCCATTCCCCCTTCCCCCCTCTCCCCCCCCCTCTTACTACCCATTCCTCCCTCCCGCCCTACTTCTTGAACATTGATAGGATTACCAGCAAACCAATGCATGTAACATTTTAGTGTTGATGAACTGCAAGAGATCGTTTCACTTAAATGTTTTAGTTGGTTTCTTTGGTTCTTGTCTTGAAGGCGGTATTTTGAAGGTAAGGCTTCTGCTTATGTGGTGAAGTAAAACGTGTCTTTGAAGTGTTTGTTTATTACAATTGCAGTGCAGATGCTTGACTGCTTCTGGCATCCCCTTGCGAGCTTTTCTGTACCAACCATGGGATGGTTCGCCTGGTACGAAGAGAGCCAATCAGAAGCTTGCATTTGCGACCACCCAATAATATTTCCTCTCGCGCGTGACCGTGCGACTCGTGAAAGCACTGACGACATCAGCCCTTAGTTTGCGACACTTTCGCCAGGCGCTGATCAGTCCGGAGGCGAAACCTTCCGTTGTCGGGCAGACTGCAAATTCAGTGCGGCGACAAACAAAGTCGTTCGTATGTGTGGTTGGATGGATGGATGCGCGAATGGACGGCTGAGTGTTAGCTGAATGGACGGAAAGTCGTGAAACAGAAGAAGTTCAACCGCAGGTAACGGAGCGGACGGAACGGACAGACGCAAGTGGAGAGAGGGTAGAGGGGAGAGGGGAGAGGAGGGATGAATGAGAAAGAGGGGAGGAAGGCCGTGGCGAAACCCTAGCCCCACCAGCCGATTCCCACTCCCAACCAATCCCAAGGAGAACAAACCCCGAGGTTTGTCAGAGTTACGGCTAGGTGAGTCGTTCGTAGGGGAGAGGAGGAAATATGGATGGACGAGCCACTCTTTTGTCAGTCATCACTGCTCAAAGGGACCCACAACCATTGATCACGAGGAAAAGCAGCTGGAAGCAGTCGGATTCATTTTGGTACTTCCGAACTGAGGAGGTTTCTTGTCCGTGTTGAGGTTACGTGCAGCTGCTGCTTCCTTCCGACGCTCTCCTGCACTGGGGCTTGCCTAGAGCTCGCGAGTTTAGAGTCGCGAGGGTAGTAGCGCAGTCGCGTCAGAACTAGCGTCTCATCTCGAGGCTTAGTTCAGATCCGTCTACGTCCGTCCAGTTCCGTCCGGGTCCGTCCAGTTCCGTCCGGGTCCGTCCAGGTCCGTCCAGGAATGGCTAAGAACAGGAGGAGCTCCGGCGTGGGGTCTTCGGATCCCAGCGGCGCTGCTGCCGGGCTGTCTAGGAGCGGCAAGCCCGGAGGCGTGTCGGGCCGGCTGGTGAACGTGTTCGAGCAGCTGTGGAACCGTCGCAAGTTCGACATTCTGGGTCGCAAGGTCAAGGGCGATGTTCGCGCCAAGTCCATCGGCAAGGCCAGGAGCGCTGCCGTGGAAAAGGTTAGTCCTAGGGAATTTAACGACTGTTGAGTCGTCGAATTTGGAGTTGTGCGGTTGAGAAGCTTTGCGTTGGGGAGTGTAAGAGGCAGTATTAAGAAAGGTCGTTGCTCGCCCTTCTCGGATAATCCTGTGCTGCAGACTTAGCTCGGCCGAGATGCTGTCAGTTTATTTGTCTTCACGCTTTTGTCTCCGTGTTTTTTATGTTTTGCCTCAAAGAAAAGGTTCCTTAGTGTATGGAGATGATCCTTAGAGCGGCGCAACGGCTGTATCCATAGCGTAGGCGAAAGTACCAGCTCTGTTAGGCCCGCTCTCCTCTCTCGCTCTCGCGTTCCGGCCTCTGGTTTCGACCTTCTCCCCTCTCCGTGACACTTTCTTTCCGTCTTCTTGTCGCTTCGCACGCTCTCTCCCTTCCCTTGCTCTGTTTTCCTGCAATGCGCAATGGCTCTCAGTTCCAGATACGTTGATTCCTGAGAATATGTAGACATTAAACAAGTTCTTTCTTCTCTCGTTCAAATTTTGACGGCTGTCTCTACCGCGCTGCACTGACGAGTTCTGTTCCGCGTGCGGTTTCCGTTCCACACTGCACTGGCGGCTTCCGTTCCGCGCTGCACTGACGACTCCCCGTTCCGCGCTGCGCGGAGGCTTCCCCTTCCGCGCTGCACCGACGGCTTCCGTTCCGCGCTGCACTGACGGCTTCCGTTCCGCGCTGCACTGACGGCTTCCGTTTGGCAGTATCCCAGCACCTCATCTTGCGGTGTCTTCCCCATCCTCTTCCCCATCCTCTAGCACATACCCTTACCCCAACCATGATTAGAGGAAAGCGACGCGCCTGCAGGTGTTTCTGGAGCTCGGGAAGGCGAATTTATCTGTTTTTCTATCTACACTTATCCGCCCTCATTTGCATCCTCATTGGCATTACGACTCCCACCGCCAGCAGAGGAAGGCGACGCTGCTGCAGGAGTTTCAGCAGCGCGGCAAGGCGAACCTGTTTTTGGATCGGAGGTCTCTTCTGTTTCCGCTCACTTCTTATCCGTCCTGAATTTGCATCCCCGCTTGCATTCGCCCTAACCCACCCTAACCGCCAATCAGAGGAAGGCGACGCTGCTGCAGGAATTCCAGCAGCGCGGCAAGGCGAACCTGTTTTTGGATCGGCGGTTCGGCGAGGGCGACGAGTCCATTCCCGAGGGCGAGAAGGCCATCGTGCGATTCCAGAAGGAGCGCATGGTACGTGATGACATGTAATGGTACGGTAAGGCAGACGAGTCCATTCCCGAGGGCGAGAAGGCCATCGTGCGATTCCAGAAGGAGCGCATGGTTCGTCGTGTCATGGCATGCCACGTTAGGGTATGATAATGCCATGTCATTGCACTACTCAATTATGTTCGTGTTTGCAGATTAAAATCAAATTCGACTCCCTCTTTTACCCTTTAATTTTCCCTGCTGTGCAGGCCCAGCTGAGTCGTAAGAACCGGTTTTCCCTCGGGGACGACGACGAGAGCGGCTGTCAGTGTTGCAGTGCGGTATAAAATAATTTCTCTACTTGTTTCCTTCTTCCTCTCCAGGCCCAGCTGAGCCGCAAGAACCGGTTCACCCTCGGAGATGACGACGAGAGCGAAGACGACGACGGGGGGGACGACGACGGAGGCGGAGGAGGAGGCGCGGGCAGGCGCAGCGGCAGGCGGGCGGCGGCGAGCGAGGACGGCGACTTGCGTCTGACGCACGGCGGGCGCGACATTGACGACTTTGACGACTCGGACGTGTCTGGGTTCGGGGAGGATGACGATGACGACGATGGAGCACGTGAGTTGGTGATTGGGGTGTGTGGGCCGGTGATAAGAGTCAGGTTGCCTCCTCTCTCATGCATGGCGGGTGCGACATTGACGACTTTGACGACTTTGACGTGTCTGGCTTCGGCGAGGATGAGGATGACGACAATGGAGCACGTGAGTTGGTGATTGGAATGCTACAAGATGTTGATCGGAGTGTGCGAGTCAGGTTCTCTCATAGACCAGTTGATTGTGTGCACGCCTCGATCAACGCTCGTGTGTCTAGTTGCGGCGATGATGACAAGCGTGTGCGTCGGAACTATCCTTTTTCCTCGCATGTCGACGAGGTCTGCCCCTCGCGTGTCGATGAGCTCTTCCCCTCACGCCTGTGTGCACTCGGCAACCAGATTGATGAGTCACATCACAAGGCCCCTCTATTTATTCTTTTTGCGTCCTTCTCATCCGTCTGCCGCGTGTGCCTCTGTCTATTGCCTCCCCTCCCCCTGTGTGCGTGCCTGTGTGTGGGTGCAGTGGGCGATCAGATTGTGAGCGAGTATCATTTCGGTGGTGGCTTCGTTCCCAAGGCCAAGTCGGCCACAGACGCACATGTGAGCTTCCAGTCGTCCTCTCGCCCTCTCCCCCACTCGCCCACTCCCTCTACGTCTTCCTGTCCCTTGTACCTGTTCCCCACTCTCTACCTGTTCTTTCCCCGCTTTCGCCTCCGCCCTATCTCTCTCTCTCCCTCTTTCCCTCCCTCTCTCCCTCCCTCCCTCGCTCTCTGTCTCTCTCTCCTTCTCTCTCTCTCCACTCACTCACGGACTCTATGTGTATGGCTGTTTTGTGTCCCGCCATGGCTGCTTGTCCTATTCCTTTGTTCAACCCAACTTCATGCCTTTCCCATTTTCAGCTTGACGCGGCGACAGGGCAAGAGGAGGGAGGCGAGGAGCGGCAGAAGACGAAGCGGGAGGTGATGGAGGAGGTGATGGCGAAGAGCAAGCTGTTCAAGGCGAAGCGGCAGGCGGAGAAGGAGGAGGACGAGCACCTCCGCGAGCAGCTCGACGCGGACTTGATTGCACTGACTCATTCGCTCAACCCTACCACCCTAGTCACTGCCCTTTTTTGCCCGTTTCTTGTTCCATCTGGTCAGCTTGACGCGGGGGCGGAGGAGCAGGAGGGAGGAGAGGAGCGGCAGAAGACGAAGCGGGAGGTGATGGAGGAGGTGATGGCGAAGAGCAAGCTGTTCAAGGCGAGGCGGCAGGCGGAGAAGGAGGAGGACGAGCACCTCCGCGAGCAGCTCGACGCGGACTTCCGCCAGATCGCGCAGTCTGACGCGCTGCTCGCGCTCACGCGCGCGCCCAAGGGGGGGAGGGGCGGAAAAGGGGAGGAGAAGGGCGGGATGGGGAAGGAGAAGGCGGGAGCGGGAGAAGGGAAGGCTGCCGCTGCCGCTGCAGCTGCTGCTGCGTCCGTTGGTGCTATTGCTGGGACGGCTGGTGCTGGTTCTGCTAAGGCGCCCGGTGCTGGGAGCTCGCTGCTGGCTGCAGACGTGGCTGAAGAGGTGCGAATGCCATGCTCTCTGCACTCTCTTATCACCGCCGCTGCTGCTGTTTCTGTTGCTGCTGCTGCTGCTGTTTATCCGGTGTTGTTATTCCCTTGTCCTCGCTGCTGGGCGGCAGGAGATGGACGACAAGCAGTACGACGTGTTGGCGCGCGGGATATGGTGTTTGTTTGACATCCCCTCTCTCCGACACTCTTTTCTCCCGCCACACTCTCCCTCCACACTTTCCCTCCCACCACCCTTCCCCTCCCCCACGCTGTTCATGTTGTTATCAGGAGATGGACGACAAGCAGTACAACGTGTTGGCGCGGGAGATGGTGTTTGACATCCCCTCTCTCCTTCACCATTTTTTCCCTCCATCTCTCCCTCTCCCCACGCTGTCCTATGGCGCCAGGAGATGGACGACAAGCAGTACGACGTGTCGGCGCGGGAGATGGTGTTTGACATCCGCGCCAAGCCCTGTTGCTCCGTATCCTCTCCCCTATCCCACCCACCCCTGTCTCATATCTTCGCCAGGAGATGGACGACAAGCAGTACGGCGTGTTGGCGCAGGATATGGTGTTTGACATCCCCTCTCTCCACCCTCCTTGTGTGTCCTCACGTTCTCCCATGGTCACCAGGAGATGGACGACAAGCAGTACGACATGTTGGCGAGGGAGATGGTGTTTGACATCCGCGCCAAGCCCGGGGAACGCACCAAGACAGCAGAGGAGGCGGCAGAGGCGGAGAGGGCGCGACTGGTGAAGCTGGAGGTGAGATTGGTAGAGATAGCACGCTTGCTTCCGGGGAGATGGTGTTTGCCATTTGTGTTGAACCTGGCGAGCGCACCAAGACAGCGGAGGAGGCGGCAGAGGCGTAGAGGGCGCGACTGGTGAAGCTCGAGGTGAGATTGGTAGAGACGGCAGGCTTGTTTCTGGAGAGATGGTGTTTGACATTTGTGCCAAGCCCGGTGAGCGCACCAAGACAGCAGAGGAGGCGGCAGAGGCGGAGAGGGCTCGACTGGTGAAGCTCGAGGTGAGATTTCCTTGTGTGTATGCGGTGATTGCCTTTTCCCCCGTACATCGTGCCTTATAAATTGACTCGAAAATCACCTCTTGTTTGTTTCCTGATGTGATGCGCTTGCCTTCTCTCTCCATGCCTTGTCCCTTGAGTCGACTCCAAAGTCAACCTCTACCCGTTTTCTTTTGTGCGTTGATTGCCTTCCCTTCTCCTCACGCGTTATACGCAGGCTGCAAGGAAGCGGCGTATGGATGGGGAACCTAGTGACGACGAGGAGGAGGGAGAGGAAGGGGAGGAGGGGTCTAGTGAGGAGGAGGGCGGGAAGGGGAGGAAGAGGCGGCAGAGGAAGAAGGTAAAGCGGGAGATCTCTGGGGACGATTTGGGGGAGAATTTCGTTTTGGAGGCAGATGAGGAGGAAGAGGAGGAGAAGAAGGGGTGGGTGTATGATGTGTTGGGTCAGAAGGAGGAGGAGAGTGAGGATGAGAGTGGGAGTGAGGGGGAAGAGGATGAGGAGGAGGATGAGGAGGAGGATGGGGCGGAGAATCTAGCTGACGTGGATTGGGAGCAGAGTGACGAGGAGATTGGAGGAGAGAGGTTGAAGGGGAAGCGAGGGTCTATGAGGGATGGGGCGGTGAAGCCAGGAGGAGGGGAGGAGAGCGAGGAGGAGGAGGAAGGAGAGGAGAGGGAGGAAGGGGAGGAGAGTGATGAGGAGGAAGAAGCGGAGGAAGAGAAAGAGGAGGAGAAGCAGAATTCAGAGGAGAGAAAGGCAGCAGAAGCAGCAGCAGCAGCAGCAGCAGCAGAAGCAGAAGCAGCAGCAGAGCAGGAGGAGCAGGAGGAGGAAGATGAGGAGGAGGAGGAAGACGAGGAGGAAGAGGAAGAGGCGGAGCGCATAGAGAGGGTGTTCCGGCGGCGCGAGCTGCCATACGTGATAGAAGCACCGCAGCAGCTGAAGGACCTGCAGCGGCTGCTAGAGGGGCGCGCAGCAGCGGAGGTGGGGGTGGCGATCGCGCGCATCCGCGCGTGCAACGCCGCGCACCTGTCCCCGGACAACAAGCGCAAGATGCAGATCTTCTATAACGTGCTCCTGCAGTACTTCGCGTCTCTGGCTAGTGATAGTGGCGGCGGTGGTGTGTCTCAGCGGGTGGAGGAGGAGCAGGACCAGCCGGGGAAGAAGCAGAAGCAGCAGCACGAGCAGCAGAGGCAGCAGGTGAAACAGGAAGCGGGGAAGAAGGCGGAGGAGGGGAAACAAGAAGGAAAAGCGCAGAAGCAGCAGCAGGGACAGCAGGAGGGGTTGGAGGAGGAGGAGGCGACGAGTGAGTTGCAAAGGAGGGCGCCATCAGTGGCAGCGGCGCACATCAACGCGTTGGTGCAGCCGCTGGTGGAGCTCTCCGCGTCCTTCCCTCTCTTTGCTGCTGTCTGCGCCCGCGAGAGGCTTGCCCGCATGCAGAAACGACTGGTGGCGCGCCTCAAGGCCGGAGGTACGGTCGGATACGGTTGGATACGGTGCGGTACGATACGGTCCCGTGTCGATATCTTCCCCTGATTGCCTCATTTGTCTTTACACTCCCCCATATTCCCGTTCCCTATCTCAGAGCCAGCATGGCCCACGGCGCGCACCCTTCTCTTGCTGCGCCTGTGGGCGCTCATCTTCCCCTCGTCCGATTTCCGTCATCCCGTCATGACGCCCGTCTCACTGCTGCTCGGCCAGTTCCTCTCCTGCTGCCCCGTGCGCTCGACCAAGGACGTCGCTGCGGGGCTGTTCATATCTGCACTGCTGCTCAATGTAAGAACTAGTGTCCACTGCTGCTATTCCTGCTCCTGCTGCTCCAGCTGCTGCTCGGCCAGTTCCTCTCCTGCTGCCCCGTGCGGTCGACCAAAGACGTGGCGGCAGGGCTGTTTATATCTGCACTGCTGCTCAATGTAAGAACTAGTGTCCACTGCTGCTATTCCTGCTCCTGCTGCTGCTGGGCCAGTTCCTCTCCTGCTGCCCCGTGCGATCCACCAAGGACGTCGCTGCAGGGCTGTTCATATCTGCTCTTCTCCTGAATGTATGTATGAGCTACTGTTCGTGCAAATCCTGCTCCTGCTGCTTCTGCTGCTCTAGCTGCTGCTCGGCCAGTTCCTCTCCTGCTGCCCCGTGCGCTCCACCAAGGACGTCGCTGCGGGGCTGTTTATATCTGCGCTTCTGCTCAATGTAAAAATCATCTTCCTAGCGTGGCACTGGTGGCACTGCTGCTGGTTTAGGGTTTCGTCTCATGGTGGTGGTACTGGTGGCACTGCTGCTGGTTCTTCTCCTGCTGTTGCTGCTGCAGCTTCTCTTACTTCTCCTGCTTCTTCTCCTGCTGCTTTTTTTTCTCTCTCTCTCCTGAAGCTGCTGCTGCTTGTCCTGCTTCTGCTGCTGGTGCTGCTCGTGTCGCTGCTGTTGGGTCCTATTCCTCTCCTCTCATGCTGACTTTTGAGTCGACTCGAAAGTCTCCTGCTTCTGCTGCTGGTGCTGCTCGTGTCGCTGCTGTTTGGGCCTATTCCTCTCATGCTGCAGCATGTGCTCCGCCAATGGCGTGGTCGCAGGTCTGGTTGAGAAGCCCTTTTCATCAATCTCCTCTTTCTCATCCCCTGCCCTCCCCTCCAACCCGTAACGTCCTTTCCAGATGGTGTCCCAGAGGCGCTCAACTTCCTGCACGCACTGCTCTGGAGCATAGAGGCGTATCAGCGACCACAATCTGGTTAACCATCCGCCTTCACCTCCCCTACTCCCTTTCCCTCCTCCCGGCCCCTCCTTCCTCCGTTTTAGATGGTGTCGCAGAGCCGTCGCTTCGTCCCAGAGGCGCTCAACTTCCTGCACGCGCTGCTGTGGAGCGCTGTTGCCCCTGCCCTCAAACCCGTCAAGCCCAAGGTATGGCTTCTCCTCCCTTTCCCTCTACCCCTCGCGTCCTCCCCACCCCTCCTCCCCGCCCCTCCTCCCCGCCCCTCCTCCCCGCCCCGCCCCTCCTCCTTTTGTGATTGATTTGCGTCATTGTTTTGGCTCCCATTTCTCGCTCCCTCCATCTCGTCCCCTCCCCTCCTTCCAGGGAGTGCCGCGCTACATGCTGCTGCAGGTGTGCTCACAGCAGTGGCTGTGGGCGCCGTGTGGGGACTCCTTGAATCCTATTTGAAGCTCTCTTCCATCTCCCATCTTCTCTTCTCCCTCGCGAAACCCTCCCCCCCATCCCCCAGGGGGTGCCGCGCTACATGCTGCTGCAGGTGTGTTCGCAGCAGTGGCTGTGGGCGCCGTGTGGGGATGGCAGCAACCCTATCTGTTACTGATATTCCTCCTTCCCTCCCCCCTCCCCTCCCCCCCCCCCCCTCCACCCACACACCTACCAGGGAGTGCCGCGCTACATGCTGCTGCAGGTGTGCTCGCAGCAGTGGCTGTGGGCGCCATGTGGGGACGGCAGCAACCACCGCAAGCGCAAGCGCACCTTACATCCCCCCCCTGCCCCCCCGGCCCCCGGCCCCCGTCCCCACCTCACAGGGAGTGCCGCGCTACATGCTGCTGCAGGTGTGCTCGCAGCAGTGGCTGTGGGCGCCGTGTGGAGACGGCAGCAACCACCGCAAGCGCAAGCGCGAGCCGCTGGAAGACTAACCCCAGGCGCTCGACTTTGAGACCTTCCCTTCCCCTGCTGCCAGCCTGCCACTGCTGCTGCTGCCTCCCCTGCAAACCCCTCCTCTACCCCATCTTGTCCCTCCCCTCCCCCCCTCCCCCACTCCCCCCCCGCTCCAACCACACACCCCCCAGGGAGTGCCGCGCTACATGCTGCTGCAGGTGTGCTCGCAGCAGTGGCTGTGGGCGCCGTGTGGCGATGATGGCAGCAACCACCGCAAGCACAAGCGCGCCTTACACCCCCCCCCCCCCTGCCCCCCCGGCCCCCCTCCCTCCTCCATCCCCCAGGGAGTGCCGCGCTACATGCTGCTGCAGGTGTGCTCGCAGCAGTGGCTGTGGGCGCCGTGTGGTGACGGCAGCAACCACCGCAAGCGCAAGCGCGAGCCGCTGGAGGACCAACCCCAGGCGCTCGACTTCGACCGCATCTTCCTCGGACCTTCCAGCACCGCTCCGAATACCGCCAGCACCGCTGAGACTACCCCCAGCACCACTGCTAACCCCTTTGTTTCTAAGGCTTCGCCCTCCGCTTCTCCTGCTGCTCCTCCCACCGTGCTGGGGGTGGAAGGCAGTGCAGCAGGGACCGTGGCGGAGGCTTACTTTGGATCCGACGTCTTCAGGTGGGTTCAGGTGGTTTCAGGTGGGTTCAGGTGGTTTCAGGTGGGTTCAGGTGGTTTCAGGTTTGTTGCAGGTGGCTTCTGGTAGGTTCAGGTGATCTCATGTAGTTCTGGTGGTTTCAGGTTATGACTCAGGTTCAGGTGGTTTCAGGTTATGACACAGGTTCAGGTGGTTTCAGATTATGACACAAGTTCAGGTTCGCTCCTTGGCACTCCTCTACCGCCCCATGTGCTGCTACTGTTGTTTGTTCCCTTACATCCCCGCCCACTTACCCCCCACCCCTTCTCCCATCCCCCCTCAACCTCCCCCACAACCCCAGGCTGAGCCTGCTTTTAGCAGTGCTCAAGACGCTTCCCTCCTTCGCCCTGCTCTACCTGCCCATGTGCTGCACTTTTGTTTCGCTCATCCTTACTTCTCCCATCCTCTTTCCACCCACACCCCCAGGCTGAGTCTGCTGCTGGCAGTGCTCAAGACCCTCCGCTCCTTTGCGCTGCTCTACCGCCCCATGCAGCCCTTCCCCGAGATTTTCGCGCCCTTCCTCCCCACCCTCGCCGCCCTTGCGGAGTCCGGGCAGCTGCCCGAAGAAATCGAGCAGGAGCGGGCAGCGTGGGTGAAGGATATCGAGGGGGCGGTGGCGGAGGTGGAAGGTTCCAGGCAACCGCTGCGGCTGAGGGTGAAACGAGCTGTACCTGCGAAGCAGTTCAACCCGAAATTCGAATCTGAGTACGTATTGGGATTAGTAGTTGAGTGGTCTGAGTCTGAGTATGTATTGGGATGAGAGGGATAAGGGAGCGCTGTAATGAGATGGGTAAATCTGAAACTGGGAACTGAGGGTGAACTGGCCGTGCCTGCGAAGCAGTTCAACCCAAAGTTTGAATCTGAGTATGTATTGGAATTAGTAGAGTGGTTTGAGTCTGAGTATGTATTGAGGTTGCTGGCAACCGCTGCCCTCTCCTCTCTTCCTTCCCCCCCCCCTCTTCCGCCCTTCCCATCCTTCCAGTTTTGCGGTAAGGGCTACTGCCCCAACAGGGAGCGGGCAGGCTGACCATTCCCCTCCCTCCTCCTCTGTTTCTTTCCTGCCCCTTTCTCCCCTCCTCCTTCCTCCCCCTTCCAGTTTCGCCCGCGGCAAGGACTACGATCCCAACAGGGAGCGAGCGGAGCAGCGGCGGCTGCAGCGGGCGATCAAGCGCGAATCAAGAGGCGCAGCAAGAGAGCTGCGCAAGGACAACCAGTTCCTCGCTGCTGCGCGCGCTAATGAGGCTGCAAATGCGTTGGAGGAGCGGCGGGAGAAGAACCAGCGGGCCATGGCGTTTATGGAGCAGCAGGCGCACCTCATGTGGTCGGGGCAGCTGGGAAGGAAGCGGGGCGGCATGAGCAGCGGGAAGGGTAGGCGTTAGGAGGCAAGGGGAGGAAGGTGAGGGAAGGTTGTTACAGGGAAGCAGATGCTACTGAGGGGGGCGGGAGAAGAACCAGCGGGCCATGGCGTTTATGGAGCAGCAGGCGCACCTCATGTGGTCGGGGCAGCTGGGAAGGAAGCGGGGCGGCATGAGCAGCGGGAAGGGTAGGCGTTAGGAGGCAAGGGGAGGAAGGTGAGGGAAGGTTGTTACAGGGAAGCAGATGCTACTGAGGGGGGCGGGAGAAGAACCAGCGGGCCATGGCGTTTATGGAGCAGCAGGCGCACCTCATGTGGTCGGGGCAGCTGGGAAGGAAGCGGGGCGGCATGAGCAGCGGGAAGGGTAGGCGTTAGGAGGCAAGGGGAGGAAGGTGAGGGAAGGTTGTTACAGGGAAGCAGATGCTACTGAGGGGGGCGGGAGAAGAACCAGCGGGCCATGGCGTTTATGGAGCAGCAGGCGCACCTCATGTGGTCGGGGCAGCTGGGAAGGAAGCGGGGCGGCATGAGCAGCGGGAAGGGTAGGCGTTAGGAGGCAAGGGGAGGAAGGTGAGGGAAGGTTGTTACAGGGAAGCAGATGCTACTGAGGGGGGCGGGAGAAGAACCAGCGGGCCATGGCGTTTATGGAGCAGCAGGCGCACCTCATGTGGTCGGGGCAGCTGGGAAGGAAGCGGGGCGGCATGAGCAGCGGGAAGGGTAGGCGTTAGGAGGCAAGGGGAGGAAGGTGAGGGAAGGTTGTTACAGGGAAGCAGATGCTACTGAGGGGGGCGGGAGAAGAACCAGCGGCGTTTATGGAGCAGCAGGCGCACCTCATGTGGTCGGGGCAGCTGGGAAGGAAGAGGGGTGGCATGAGCAGCGGGAAGGGCAGGCGTTAGGAGGCAAGGGGAGGAAGGTGAGGGAGGGGGATTCGAGAGCAGCTGCAGCAGAGGAGAGGCGGGAGAAGGAAGAGCAGCGGGAAGGGCAGGCGTTAGGGGCATCAGGAGGAATGCGTGGGAAGGGGATTCGAGGGAAGCAGATACTGCTGAGGGGGGCGGGAGAAGAACCAGCGGGCCATGGCGTTCATGGAGCAGCAGGCGCACCTCATGTGGTCGGGGCAGCTGGGGCGGAAGAGGGGCGGTATGAGTAGCGGGAAGGGTAGGCGGTAGGGGCATCAGGAGGAAGGTGAGGGAGGGGGATTCGAGAGCAGCTGCAGCAGGGGAGAAAGGGGGGGAGGAAGAGCTGCGGGAAGGGTAGGCGCTAGGAGGCAAGGGGAGGAAGGTGAGGGAAGGGGATTCGAGCGCAGCTGCTGCAGGGGAGAGGCGGGAGAAGAACCAGCGGGCCATGGCGTTTATGGAGCAGCAGGCGCACCTCATGTGGTCGGGGCAGCTAAGAAGGAAGAGGGGCGGCATGAGCAGCGGGAAGGGCAGGCGTTAGGAGGCAAGGGGAGGAAGGTGAGGTGAGAGAAGAAGATTCAATGGCAGCTGCAGCAGAGGAGAGGCGGGAGAAGAACCAGCGGGCCATGGCGTTTATGGAGCAGCAGGCGCACCTCATGTGGTCGGGGCAGCTGGGGCGGAAGAGGGGCGGCATGAGCAGCGGGAAGGGTAGACGTTAGGAAGCAAGGAGAGGGAGGTGAGGGAAGGTTGTTACAGGGAAGCAGATGCTACTGAGGGGAGCGGGAGAAGAACCAGCGGGCCATGGCGTTTATGGAGCAGCAGGCGCACCTCATGTGGTCAGGGCAGTTGGGCGGGAAGAGGGGCGGCATGAGCAGCGGGAAGGGCAGAAGGTAGACGGGAAACGAGGTTCCAAGGGGTGAGGGGAGAAGGCAGTGAGGGGGGAAGGCAGTGAGGGGGGATTTGAGCGCAGCAGCTGCAAATGCAGTGGAGGAGCGGCAGGAGAAGAACCAGCGGGCAATGTTCCGAGAGTGATGACGGGACGGAGGCAAAGAGTGGGAACTTGAGGACTGCTGCTGCTCCAGAGTGCAAGGAAGGCTATGGGAGTTGAAGGAGAATGAGGTGTGGATGGGATGGGTGTGACTGTGCAATGTGAAGATGATGTGAAGCTGACCTTTTGACTTGTGCATGTGTGCACTGGAGCTAACTTTTTGGCGTGTGAATGGTGATGAGCAGACGCATCAGGGTGCGTGTCGGTGGAATGCCAGTGCCTTGTGCATGTATGTCAGTGCATGGGTGGCATGTTTGGAAAGAGGGTGTGTCTGCATGTATGTATGTGCGCGCACGTGTGCATGTGTGTGTGAATGTGTCTTTTTGTATGTTTGTTTGACTTCGGTCACCCAAAAAAACGAAAAGAAGAAGAAAAAAAACTGCGGTTATGGCACACTAACTTTTTGGCGTTGCTGTGTGTGTGGTTTGATTTGAAGAGAGGCTGAGTGAGGGTGATGTTGGATGACTGTGTGGAGTCAGTGGGGAGGGGAGGTGTGCAGAGGCTGGTGCTGCAGCCTCAAAAAGGCTGCAGCCTTAAATATAGGCTGAGTGGGGGGGGGGTGATGACGTATGGCTGGGTGGGGACAGTGGGGCGGCGGCGTGCAGGGAGTGGTGCAAGCAGGAACGTGCAGTGCAGGCAGTGCAGGCAGTGTGCAGCAGAGGAGGGTGGGAGCATGGAAGGAGGGTGAATGGAGTGTGGCGAGAGCATGGATGGAGCATGGAGGGAGCGTGGTTGGATTGCGGAGGGAATTGGAGTGAATGCATGGGAGGCATTGCAACGAGCGAGAGGTGGTTCGTGAAGCAGTTCTTGAAGCAGCTTGGATGAGCTTGGATGAGCGCAGCTTGGGTGAGCTTGGGTGAGCGAGGCACCTGCAACGGAGCTGCTCCACAGCTGTGCGGAGTGGCCAGGCCAGTGCAGGGGCAAAGGAAGACACACAAATACCATGCTTCCTCTGTGCAGGGGGGGCAGGGGAGTAGCGCGCATGGAGTGTCATGGTTGGGCTTGACTTTGTGTCATGCTGCCAGTGCGGGTGCCTGGCTGTATGCAGTGCCAAGCTCCCACCTGCCTGCTGCTTCTGCTGCTGCTGCTGGAGGTTCCCGCTTTTTTTTTTCTGAATGAGGCCACGCAGTGATTGTATTTGGTACCTGCTGTGGTGGCTGGAACTTTTTTGTTTCTTGCCCTTATGGGCGTTCTATGATGATGCTGTACCTACATGGTTCTGTGTGTTTTCCTGTGGCTGCTGCTGGGTGTGTATACACCTAGATGGGTGTATGAACACCCAGCAGCTCGCTTAGCATATTTCTTGGACTAAATTCATGCTACTTTTTGCTCTGTTTTTACTTAGCACTTACTGCCTATTGGAAATTGTTGATTTTCTCTTGGCTGTCTGTCAAGTGATATGCACAATTCAGCTGTACATCACGAAAATTTGATTCGTCCTCAATCGGCCATCTGCACTTGTCGAAGTCTAACAGCGCGTATGTTTTACAAGGTCCAATTCTTTCTCCACCGACCTGAGTTTCCACGTTTCGTTTGATGGTCAAAGCCACGGAACAACCACAGGCGAGTACAATTGATGCCCAACCAGTGCACGCGGATTTGCCTTGCGCCGGATGGAAACGCTGCACCCGAGGTTGTTTCCCCAGCCTGTTGCTCCCACGTTATAAGCGCGTCGCGTGGTTATCAACCAATAGTAACGAACAGACCGAGGTCAAGCAGAAGAGACTGAAGTCAAATAAGGTAACAGATCTTGTTTATAAGCACCTGCGAATCCTTTTTAGCTAGCTGCGAATTAACGAAAGTTATGCGAAATTCTCGTTACAGCTTATACGCCCCCTTCACAAGGCAACCGGGAGGGGCTCAAACAGGCATCAATTGTACAACTCTCCGGACCAGTCGTCGCACTCTTTCGTGTGTGGCGGAGACGCGACGTTGACCGAGTCCACAATTGCCCGTTCAGGGGGTCAGCTGAAACTGGTGGAATTTCTAAACAGCTGCACTGTACGGTCACGCGTGTTCCATTTAGCATCCTTGCTCCCTCTCAGATAAGATCCTTTTGGCAGCCTAAAAGTATCCGCCCTTGCCCTGAATGCGGGGAAATCAACTTCCAGCACCTTTCCCCTCCCCCCACTCCCGCACAGCAACCCCTCACCCCCACCCCCCGTGTGGCCGTTGAAACCGTATTTGCGCATAAGCCTCGTTCCCCGGCCCTCCTCGCCTTTCGCTGCAACTGCATCTCCGCTGCGCTGTTCACTTGCTCCTCCCCGCCTCCCCTCTCCCCCCTTCCCCATTCTCCAAACAGTCTCCGATTTTCTTCCGCACCGCAGAAACCGCCGCTCCCGCTGACCCGTCCTCCGCGTCGCGTCATTTACAGCCCACCGGAGCGGGGCGGAACAATGTTGCGCACAGCAAGCTGCGAAATCCCCGTTGTTCACGCTGCCACTGCCACATTCCCTCCCCCTTTTCCAGCCAACAAGCGCGAAATCCACCGCCCCCCAAAACTCCCCCCTGTTACCTCCATTCAACCGGCGCAACTCTCACCCGAAGGAGCACCTTCCGTTCCTGCTCAAACTCACTTCCGCAAATCCCTCTGACGACCATTCCGCCCCCCGTCGAAAGCGCCCCAATCAGCGACCATTCCAATTTCCGTTCCCCCAGAAACTTCTCTCTCCTCCCAATCTATTCCTCCCCATCCCATCTCCTCCCATCCCCTCCCATCCCTTCCCACCTCATCCGACCCCAACCCCTCACATCCCATCCCGTCCTTCCATCGCGTGCCATTCCACTTGCCTGCACACCAGAAAACCTCCATGGTCTGACTTTTTCGTGTGCTCCAGCAACGTTTTCTCTCGTTACAAATGCATCCTTTCCACACTCCATCTGCATGCCTGCCATAGCTAAAAACGCAACCTCCTTCGAATCCCCTCTTGCACACAATCACAGTCGTCCCTCTTCTACTACACACACTTCATTTCCCTTCCAATAAACGGCCATCCACAAACGACCTGCCGCGACGGTCGTTTTCTCTCGGTAGTAGGCAGTCGTCGTCTCGTCGTTTTCTTTCCAATGTACGGCCCACTGCATAACGTAGAGCCGTTGTTTCAAACCCTTTCTTTCTCTCAGTTGTGGCCGGTCGTCTTCTCGTCGGGGCCCACCGAATAACGTAGAGACGTCCGAATCGTTTCGCTTCGGATCCGACCCTTTCTTCCTCGCACTAGTAGCGGCGGTCGTCAGCCGTACCTCCCACTCCTAGTCCAGGTGTATTTTGAGTCGATCCAAAATACGTGCCCACTGTGTAACGTAGAGACGTCGTTTCAGACCCTTTCCTTCTTCTCACTAGTAGCGGTCGTCGGCCATACCTCCCCCGCGGTCCGCTCATTTCTCATTCACTCGCCTTCCAGCCTCACTTTGCCTCACCTCACAAGGCTTGCGCGTTCCAAATGATTAAAATGCTTCACCTGCCGGAGCGTGACACTTGCAGCTGCGGTCGACGCGGGGGCATTAGCGAGTCGCTCTCTATACAGCTATAGCAAGCTGCGCCCTGCTGCCAGCTATAGCAAGCGGAATCTCGGACACACAACTAGTCGCTCGCGAACGCGAGAGGACAAACACACCACCATTTGCGACGTGCTTTTGAGAATCCTCAATTAGGCGCCATGGCCTCCCAAATCCTCGCCAGTCGTTCTCAACGAGTCGCCTTTTCCCACGACGATGATTTTAGGACCGCGCCGCGGCATAGCAACAGCATGAGAGAGACTGGCCTTACCAGTGACACCATGCCCTCCCAAATTCCCGCTTGTAGTGGCAATGATCCAAGTTCGAGTCGTGGTTTTGCGAGTTCGAATCGCCCAGTGCTCGATTTCCCGCGCGCCGCGACCACCCGTTGCCACGTCAGCATGCTTCTCGACCAGTTGGAGGAGCGATGCCGCCTCGCGGCGCAAACGCGGCAGCGGTACCACCGAAGCTCGAGTTGCACCCGCGGCGCGCCGCCGAACCAGCAGATCCAACCGTATCACTACCCGCCGAGCTGGTCGGAACCGTGGCTCGTCAGCAGCTTCGGGCCGAGGCTGGAGGCTCGGTTCGAGGTCGGGGAGGAGCTGGGGCGCGGGCATTTCGGCGTGGTGCGCGTGTGCCGGGAACGGGGCAGCGGCGCGACGTTTGCCTGCAAGACAATAAGCAAGGAGCTGCTTCAGGTACGGCTATCAGTCTCTCTCGCTCTCCCTGCTGTCATTCACCCTTCATGTTGTCGTCTCGGTGTGGTGCCCTGTTCCTATGATTTCGAGCTTGCTTGCTCCCTTCCCTCTCCTTGCTTGCTCTCTGACGCTGTCGATCCCTGCTTGCCCCTCCTTGCCTCTCCTTGCCACGTGAAACACGTCTCACCACTAAGTACCGATTCTCCTTGCTTTGTGCTGTGCTGTGCTCTGCTCCGCTCTGCTCTGTTTTCTCAGGGCTTGCGGGAGATGGAGGAGCTGCGCGCCGAGGCGCTGACTCCGCTGCTGCTGCAGCAGATGGCGGAAGAGGACGAAGACGAGAGTGCAAGAGACGGGGAAGAGGTGGAAGCAGTCAACCCAGTCAACCCAGTCAACAGCACCAGCACCAGCACAGGGAGGTCCCCCTGGGAGGGCCTGGTGCGTCTACATTCAGTGTACGAGGATAACTGGGGGGTGCACCTAGTCATGGACCACTGCAGCGGAGGAGACCTGTTTGACCTCGTTGACCGGTACGCTGAGTCAGCAGGCATGCCCGAACAGCTGGCGGCCGCTGTCGTGGGCCAGCTGGCTGCCACGCTGGCGTGGATGCACTCCGTGGGGGTGGTGCACCGGGACTTAAAGCCCGAGAACATCCTGCTGGCTCGGCCGTTCTCAGGGAACACGGGTTCCTTTCCGAACCTCCACCTCTGCATCGCCGACTTTGGCCTGGCTCGGCAATTGGCCCCTGGGGAGCACCTGACAGGCTTGGTAGGGAGTCCCTTTTACTTGGCCCCTGAGGTCGTGAAGGGGCACCTGTACGACCACCAGGTGGATGTGTGGAGCCTCGGGATTATCCTTTACACGTGCCTTTCCGGGAAGCTTCCCTTCCACGGCCCGAACCACAACGCCGTGTTTGCTGCGGCGTGCCGGGCGGCGCCGGACCTGGTCTTGCCGGAGCTGTGGGGCGGGGTGTCTGCCGAGGCTAAGGATCTGGTTCGGAGGATGCTGGCGAAGGAACCGGGGAGGAGGATCAGGTCTTGTGAGATACTCTCCCATCCTTGGTTTGAAACGGTGGGGAGGAGGAGAAACTTGTTGAAAGCTGAACTGCGGACAGAGGTACATGCTTTTGGGACTACCAACAGCAGTAGTGTGGGTATTAGCAGCAGCAGAGCTGGTTTGGAATCGAGCAACAGAACAGCAGTACCGACAGCAGCAGCGGCAGCACCAGCAGCATCGCCAGCAGCAGCAGCAGCAGCAGCATACGCCTTGTACAGTCCTGCAACTCCCAGTGACGATCTCCCTCTGATCAACACAGAAGCAGCGCAACGAGCATCCTTCCTGCCATGGTATGGCGCTGAATACGGCAGCACTGGCGCGAGTGGCGGTGGCACAACAGGGAGTGTGACGGCAGCGAATGTGGCTGTGAAGAATTCCCCAATAGGCGGCATGAGCAGCCCGAGCATCCTTCAATCTCAACCGTGGCAGTCAAGCCAATTAAGTCAACCAGCTTCATCAAGTCAACCGAGTCAACCCACTGCATTACCACATCGTCAACCAAGTCAACCCAGTCAACTAGGTCAACCAAGTCAACACGTCCAGTCTGTCTGGGGACAAGACACAGTGACTCCACACCTCAACACCATGCCCGACCTCCAAGCAACTACCAACACTGCAGCTGGCCCCAACCACATCACCACCCCTCCCCAGGATAATGTCACTTCATCCCATTCCACCACGCCCCCTCGCCCCACGCGCCCTCCCCCTCTCTCCATCCTTCCGCCTCCCCCCGCTTCCCCTCGCACCCTCGCCACTTGCACTCCTACTCCCCGCACGCCCTCTCGCGCTCTCTCCGCCCGTCCGCGCAAGCCAATCAACCAATCACCGCGTCCGACCGCTCCTTCCCCTCCAGCTCTCCCCCCCTCGCTGCTGACTCAGCTCCGGGCTGACAGGGTGGCGGATCTGATGCGGCTGTTTCGAGCGTGCCAGGCTGGCAGCTCTGATGATGTGGCATCGTGTCATGGAAGCAGTCCAGCAGTAGGTTCAGTTCACTTAGAGCAGATTAAAACATAGCTTGAGTGTAAATTACCAGTATATTCTCTATAATTTGTTATTAAGCAGATTTGTGCTGTTTCAGGAAATCCAATACTACCTCGATTGTGTTGAGCGTTTGGTGTAGAGTCAGTGTAGTCATGAAGAGCATATGAAAATGATGGATGCTAAAAACCTTTGTCACACCAGATCATAATCTGGCTGGGGCTTAGCATAAACTTGGTACAAAGGGGGGCTACAGTTTTATAATAGCAATAGATTTTATTCCCAAAAGAAATTACATAGCTGTTACCTAAGGTTCAGAGAAAAGAGTGGCACCAACAAAACGAATTGGGAAGAAATGAGCATAACGCTGGGAACACCGCAGTCCTTCTCCAGCTAGGAAGGACTGTAAGAATGTTCCAAGAATAGAAGCCTAGCGAGACCACTCTCTAGCGCGAATGAACTTGAACGCTGCTCAGACGGGAATCTTGGTTGCGCCGATCCACGATTGCAGCTGGATGAAGCTGTTGGGGTTGTACTGGCTGACGTCACCGGATGACGCCACGCCCGGCTTGGCCCACTTGACGCGCGACGGCTTGGAGCCGGGACCCTTGCTGTTGACCTCCGCGAGGAACGGCTTTCCGCCGTACGTCTCGCCGGCCCACGTCATCCAGCCGTCAGCAACGATTTGCTGCAACGGGAGGAGGGGGGGAGGGAAGGACGGGGAGCGGAAGGGGTGCGGAAGAGGGGGGAGAGGGGGTAAGGAAGAGTGCAGAGCTAGTGGGAAAAAAAGACACACGTTTTAAGACATGTGGAGAAGCAGAGGGGGAAGGGAGGCTTTCTACGTGAAAATAATGTGTTTGAAATTTCTCAAAAACATCCTGAAATACGTTATCCTTTTATGGCTCCTTTCATGAATGTACGAAACTCGTGGCTTCCGAGGGACACCAATCGAGTTAGACACGGTGTCGTTTGAAACGGGCTCTCATGCCAACGTCAGCGGGATGTTGGCAGTGGTACCGCTCCGTTATCGAGTGCACTGGCTCCCATACCAACGTCAACCCGAAACCCTATAACAAAGACAGTGCCCGACCGAGCTTACATTCGGGAGAAACGTGTTGATGAACACCGACGCGGCGTAGGTCTTCCAAGGTCGCCCGAGATACACGCGCGGCGCGACCGACACCACGCGGGAGTCCATGATGACAATCCCAGTGTTGGACGTCTTGCTAAGGCGACCCGACGCGGTGATCGTCGCGTCGTACTGCGTCGCGACGACCTTCAATTGTGAATTGCGAATCACAATTGCCGCATCGCCAAACACGAAATCCACAGCCCCGTCGATGAAACAATTCGTGTAATACTGGCGACCCGTGCTGGCGAATAGGGTGTCTTGGAATCCCGAAATTCGGACCGCGTAAAACGCGGCTTGGTCGCTGTCCACACGGAGCGCCACGGCCTGCTGACCGTCCATGCCAGCTGAGTTGCGAATCGTCAAGCTCATCGCGACGAAGTTATCCGCGTTGACTCCTGCCACATGCAACATTCGCGAATGAAATCAGATTAGCAATTAAAAAAAGGGTCGAGGTGTAAATGTACTGTACAGAGTCTGAAAATTATGCAAGATTGGGGCGAAGGATGCGAAGCACTTACCCACTGTGGCCGAGGTGATAATATCGTAACCCCCTTTCTGGCTGGCGTCGTTCACGATAACCGTCTTGTCAATGCCAGCACCAATCATCGTGATGCGACCCGTGCTGACCTGGATCTGCTCATTATACACTCCCGCCTTGATGCGAATCGTTGAACCTGGCCCAGCTGCGTCCACAGCGTCCTGAATCGACTTGTAATCCCCGCTGCCATCTGCCGCTACGACCGCGTTGATCGCCTGAGTCGCTCCGACCTTCGCCTTCTTGCCCGATTTAGAGCCCTTGCCACCGGAATTCGACGAGCCACCCGAAGAATTATTGTCCTTCTTGTTCTTCTTGTTCTTCTTGTTATTGTTGTTATTGTTGTTGCTGTTGTTATTGTTGTTATTGTTTTTGTTATTGTTGTTATTGTTATTGTTGTTGTTGTTATTGTTGTTATTGTTGTTGTTGTTATTGTTGTTATTGTTGTTGTTGTTGTTGTTCCGGTCCTTATGATCAAGAGTTACCACGAGCTTCTGGCCGCCGTTTCCGCTTCCCGGCTCGGCCGGCACGGCCTGGGTGACGGCGAGGCTGGAAGGCTCGGCATCGAAACGAAGGCGAGTGATGGCGTGGATCTGCTGCTGGCGCCACGTGGCGAGCAGCGAGAGCAGCTGGGTGAACTTGGGGGTCATGGATGCGACTTCATCGCGTATGGACGAGAGCTGCTCGGATTGCTTTGTCTGAGGGTTTCTGTTGAGCACCATCAACAGCGTCTGCTGGTTGGAATACGCGCGATCCACGTAGCGAGTCGCGTCCTGAAGCTTTTGCGCGGATCGCGGGCGCGTGCGGTACATGTCGACCATATCCTTGATCGCCCAGACCAGGCTCTTGCTGATCAGTAGCGACTGAAATACACAACAGGAGTCAGGGTGAGAAGGAAACATATGAGCCGCAAGCGGTTGACGAGACGAGCTGATAATGACGAGAATCATGTAATGACTCGGGAGGCTTTAAGGTTCTGAAACACCGCGATCTTGAAATGACCTTATCCGAAATCGCCGTATGTGTGTTAGAATATCGGACGAGAGCCGCGATCTTGACCTTCGCATGTGTAACTCACATACGGCGATTTTCACGCCATTGTGAACAGCCACGAGGAATCGTTTATTGCTCACCTAGACAGTTGCACAATTGTTTGAAGATAAGGCCTACCTGTGTGAGGATGGAGCCCATAACCACCCAACCCCCCCCCGTCGTCGCCTGAGTTCGGACCGTCCCCACATTTCCCAGCAGCCCTTGCGCCAACTGGATCGCAACAGGCGTCGCACCGCCGCCCAGCAAGTTTCGCCGAAGCGAAAACTCATCGTCGACGATCGCAGGGGTGCTGGTGGTCGCAGAGGGGGTGAGGTCGAAATCGACGGGCTCGCCTTGCAGGACGAAGGCGCAGACGGAGATATTGTGAAACGCAGCGGCTGAAGCTGCGTGCTCGCCGAAATCCTCGCATAGAATGAATCCGGTTTCTACTTGCGCATCGTCAGCGAATGCTACGGAGAATGCTAGGCAACACAGCAGAACGGACAGGCATGCAGACGCGGAACGAACGAACGGCCTCATGGTGCTGGGATGATTATTGAACACTCCTAGGCTAAGAGGCGAGGCAAGCAATATTAGCTTATCGGTAAAATAGGCGATGGAACCTAACAGCAGCTCGGTGTATGCACTAGCACCTAGCTGTTGAAAGACGAAGCAACAACGCCCAGAATATGAAGGAGCATTGCGACATGGTCGGTGAGTAGGGTCAAGTGGGTGAGTGGCGGGGTGCTGCCGTTTTGTGAGGTTGGGTGGGGGGGCAGGGGAGGTGCACGCAAGCTTTCGCGACAAGGACGAGCAGTGCAGCGTCACGTTCCACGTTCCACGCTTCCCAGTGGCTGGTGAGTTTATGCTTTCGCGATGTGGTAGAGACCCACTATGGTAACATGTTTCGTCAGAGGCCGATTTGCCACTGACGAAGCTCGCCAGCACCAAGCACCCGTCACCTTCAACAAAATCCGAAATCTCAAGGCCTTGCGGGACATTTCGAGCCGCCATGTGTGATCGATGCGCAAATGCACGAAAAACAAGCTCCATGAAAGCGATGCGAACACACGTTCTAGTCACAGCTCGTTCGGCGGCGCATCCAATGGGGTCGCGTGCTCGAGTAAACGACCTGTTTGATTGGTCAGAGAAATCGGCGACATTGACGTTTAATCGCTAACCCGTGTTTCCCAAGCAGCCGTCCCACCCGAGGCGTGTATTCTGGCTCATGCGGTCGCGATGACATCGTGAGCGCTTCGAGTATTGAAGGGCTTGCGCCTGAATGGGTAATCAGCCACCATAAATGGTAGACCGTAAGGTTGAGATCCTGGAGGATTGAATACTTCCTGAATATAGTCATGGTTTGCTCCAGTCACAGACAGAACTTGCGACGTTTAGGGACAGTCTCAGCTCGATTTTGAAACTTAGAACTTCATGACAGTTTTGAGATCCCTCTGGACATCGTAGTCATTGCAACAGATATCCATTCAGGTGTAACAAGGGCTCTTCAATTCTGTACCTTACGATTTCTGAGGACCAACCCACACCCAGACAATAACTAAACAAAAACAGGGTGTATCCGGCCGCGGCGTCTAGATTCAGGGTAGTTCGAACATGACTCCGACAGGTGCGGGTGTCCCAACTCCTTGGGGTGACCCACGCCCCGCACCCATCGCGAGCGATTCCGATGAACAAACCCCACAAGTCACTCTAACCCATAATGCAACCTAATGGAACCATCCAGTTTTCGGATTCAAATGTAATGGTAAGAACTTATTGACTTGTAGGTTCCTCTATGGACATATGGAGTATATGCCAGTACTTTTTAAGTACCTTCGTATGGGAACATAGATCACAGCAAAGAAACAAAAAACTTGAACAGTGCTTGAGTGGGTCCTAGTTCTACTATAGGCACGATAGCACGTCAAGATGGTAGTAGTACATGTTTACGATCACCTGGCTAGCTCTGGAAACGCCCCTGACAAAGCGTCCTTAATCTCTCCCCACTCCTCCATCATCTCCTCATCATAAGCCTCCGAATTCTCGGGCGGTGTAGCAAAGGTGCCGAGCTTGCTGCGCCAAAAGTCGTCACGGAAGGTGAGGAAGTTGAAGAGCTGCTCCACCTCTAGCACCTCCCACGGACGAAGCCCTGGGATGCGCTGCGCCAGGTTCTTCCTGCAAGCGAGAAACGGGAGGTTAAGGGAGTAGGGATTGAGGAATCAGAATGGTAAATGAGCAGTGACAGATTTGGTATGGGTTGCTTGCAGGGGATCAATCCTTCAATCTGCCACCGAGATAGGAAGGGAGGGAGGGCAGGTGCCGTCAAGCTTGCTGCGCCAGAAGTCGTCACGGAAGGTGAGGAAGTTGAACAGCTGCTCCACCTCCAGCACCTCCCACGGACGCAGCCCGGGAATGTGCTGCGCCAGCTTCTTCCTGCACGAGGGTAGCAGCAAGGTATAGGGGGGAAAGGATGGGGATCGTGTGATGAAGGATGAGCAAGTTGAAGAGCTGCTCCACCTCCAGCACCTCTCACGGGCGCACCCCCAGGATGCGCTGCGCCAGCTTCTTCCTGATTGAGAGAAACAGCAAGGAAGATGAAAGTTCCGGAGACGGCGAGGGATGGGCTATGGAATACTGGAAACAACCACTTTCGAGCGCACACAGGGTACGACACATGGCAAGAAAGTAAGGGAGAGGAGATATAAACGGGGAGGAAATTTTGTTCAACAGAGCGCACACGGGGTACGACACATGAAGGAGTTCTTCTCATACGAGCAAACTGAGGCAGAGGTTCCCTTCCGCACTCACCTCCGCTCGTAGGAGATGAACTTGCTAGGAAACTTCTTGGGTTTCTGGTCCAGCACTTTAGTGAGCTCACCCCCACTGGCCCACAGGAAGAGCGAGTGCGAGGGGGCCTGGTTGCCCGGCCACGCTCCCCCGTGGTTGTGCAGTGCAGAGCGCTCTCGCTCCTTGTCCGCCAGTGCCTCTGCCCCACAACCGCTTGCCTCACCACCGGGCCCTATGATTTCCCAGTCGACTCCCCTCACACACTCACCTCTGCTCGTACGAGATGAACTTGCTGGGAAACTTCTTGGGCTTCTGGTCGAGAACCTTGGTGAGCTCGCTCCCACTGGCCCACAGGAATAGCGAATGCGAGGGGGCTTGGTTGCCCGGCCACGCTCCCCCGTGGTTCTTCAAGGCAGCACGCTCCCGCTCCTTGTCTGCCAGTGCCTCTGCCTGCCGCTCCTCCAGCGACCTCTTGGCCCCTTCGAAGCCCTTCTTGACCTTGAGCGGGTTCACGCCCCTCCCGATGCGGTGCAGCATGGCCGTGCCTGCCGTCGCCAGGCGCACTGGTGGGTTCGGAAGAAGCAGCAGCAGCAGTGGGGGGTGGGGGGGAAAAGGGGAAACAGAGGGTGAAAGGGGCGGGGTAGAGGGTTATTGCTTGTCCAGGGTGGGGCAGCAACAGCAGCAGCAGCGCAGCACGCTCCCGCTCCTTGTCCGCCAGTGCCTCTGCCTGCCGCTCCTCCAGCGACCTCTTGGCGCCCTCGAAGCCCTTCTTGACCTTGAGCGGGTTCACGCCCCTCCCGATGCGGTGCAGCATGGCCGTGCCTGCTGTGGCCAGGCGCACTGGCGGGAGTCAGAGGGAACGGGAAAGAGTGGGAGTAAGAGGGGAGAGGGAAGCGAAGGGGGAGGTGAGTGGGGTTGAAATGCAGCATGGCCGTGCCTGCTGTCGCCAGGCGCACTGGGAAAGGGAGTGGGAAGGAGTGGGAAGGAGTGGGAATGGGAGGAAAGGGCGAAGTGAGGAGGGAAGGGAGTGCGGGTGGGGGGGTGCGGTGCAGCACGGCCGTGCCTGCCGTGGCCAGACACGCTGGCAGGTTGGAGAAAAGGAGTGGAAACAAGTGGGAATAACGAGGACAGAGGGAAGTGGGAAGTGGAAGGGGGGAAAGAAGTGGGCACTCTCCCATCCCTCCGCTCATTCACCATCGGGCGTGTCAATGGCCTGCTTCAGCCCATACACGGCATCAATGGGAGCAAACTCGTCCATGTCATCGCCCCACACGAAGGTGTTGCCATCGATGATGCCCACCGCCGACAACCCATGCCGTGTGCTGTGCCTACTGTTGTTTGTGTTGCTTGTTGCTGCTGCACGCTCACTGCCATCCCCAACCCACCCACTCACCATCGGGCGTGTCAATGGCCTGCTTCAGCCCGTACACGGCATCGATGGGAGAAAACTCGTCCATGTCTTGTAGAGTCAACTCATCGTCTCTCCCACTCTCGTCTACCCCTTTCCCACCCACTCACCATCGGGCGTGTCAATGGCCTGCTTCAGCCCATACACGGCATCAATGGGGGCAAACTCGCCCCACACGAAGGTGTTGCCATCAATGATCCCCGCCGCCGACAACCCATGCCGTGTGCTGTGCCTACTGTTGTTTGTGTTGCTTGTTGCTGCTGGACGCTCACTGCCATCCCCCACCCACCCACTCACCATCGGGAGTGTCAATAGCCTGCTTCAGCCCATACACGGCATCGATGGGAGCAAACTCGTCCATGTCATGTAGAGTCAACTCATTGTCTCTCCCACTCTCGTCTCCCCCTACCCCGCACTCACCCACTCACCATCGGGAGTGTCGATCGCCTGCTTCAGCCCATAAACAGCATCGATGGGAGCAAACTCGTCCATGTCATCCCCCCACACGAAGGTGTTGCCGTCGATGATCCCCGCCGCCCACGCCCCATGCCATATGCCATGTGCTGCTTACTGTGGCCTGCTATTGCACTCACCATCGGGCGTGTCAATGGCCTGCTTCAGCCCATACACGGCATCAATGGGGGCAAACTCGTCCATGTCATCGCCCCACACGAAGGTGTTGCCATCAATGATCCCCGCCGCCCACGCCTCAATGCCATGCACCATGCCTTTGGTTTTGCCTGCTGATGCACGCTCACTGCAATCCCCCAACCACCCACTCACCCACCCACTCACCATCAGGCGTGTCAATGGCCTGCTTCAGCCCATACACGGCATCAATGGGAGCAAACTCGTCCATGTCGTCGCCCCACACGAAGGTGTTGCCATCGATGATCCCCGCCGCCCACGCCGTGCGCAGGTTGATCACCTCGCAGGGGCCGCGCGTGCGCCCCACACGGTCCTTGTAGTACCACGTGCTGCCACGCAGGGTGACTGGGGGAGAGAGGTGGGGGGAAGGGACAACAACAGGGGAAATGGAGAGGAGGGACATGCAGGTGGGTGGGAGTTGGGATTGAGAAGAGACTGGCGTCTGAAAGCGAGTCACCTCGCAGGGTCCCGTGTGCGCCCCACGCGGTCCTTGTAATACCACGTGCTGCCACGCATGGTGACTGGGGAGAGAAGGGGAATGCATGGGTCGGAAAGGGGGGGAGGAAGGGAAGAGGAGGGGGATACGCTGGAGATGGCACGGTGAACCTTTGTGGTACCACGTGCTGCCACGCATGGTGACTGGGGGGGGAGAAAGAGAGTTTGTGGGGATGGAGGGGAAGAGGAGGGGAAAGAATTG